AGCAGCATGGCGCAGAGATGGGGAACGGCGGCCGCAAGGAAACCAAGCTCGAACTACCTCCAGAGGAAAGAGAGGAGCACCCTTAGAGGACGGAGAACGAGCTGTGCCACTAAACAGGTGAGCGGTGTAGTCAAGGCGGTGGGAAGAGGCAAAGGCACTGACAGTAGTGACAAGGGCCGAGACAGACACTGGAGGGGCAGTCGGGTGAGAGACCTACGCGGACAGAACACGGGAGACGACAGGGCGAGAGGCACGTAGGTAGTCGGACAACGGGTTGTGAAACAGAGTGAGGGATGACTCAGGAGGTTATGGAAGGACCCGAGGAGGTGGAACACGAGAGAGGAGAACAAGGCGAAACGGGCCGTTGGCACGGTAGCGGACCGACGAGGCTCTGGGGACACAGTTCGACTAAGAGGAGAAAGACGAGACCACAGAGACAAGGAAAGGGACTAGTCAGGGGAACGAGGGGGGGGAGGATGGGAGGGGACCACGAACAAAGTGTACTTGCTGCTGTGGCTGTGGCTCCTCCTCTACCCTCTCCGAACTCTACGACTGAGACTGCTCCTCTTGCTGCAACTGTTGCTGCTGGCGGTGGGAAGAGGCAAAGTGACGGTGAGAGAGCTGTCGGTGGGGTCGAGTCCTGTAGTAACAGACAGACTCGTCAAAAGTGACGTCCTGAGAACTGAAGAATTCGCAGGTGAGTGGGTCGTAGAACACCCAGCCAGAGGCGTCCAGGGGGAAACCAAGGAAGACACAGGGACGTGATGTGTTAGTCTAGGTGTGTTACGTTCATGCTTGGGTTAGGGTTGGCATTTCCTATGTGTTCCTTGTTTTGTCATTCCTTAGTCAATTCTTCCTTTTTTTCATATCTTGACATGGACTCAGAGCGAGAGTTTCCCTTGCTAGGGTTTCATGACCTGTTGTTGTTGTTGATGTTGGTGTTGTTGTTGTTGTTGTTTTTTTTTTTTTTTTTTTTTTTTTTTTTTTTTGGGTTTAGGGTTTCACGACCTGTTGTCCGACTACCTCCGTGCCTCCCGTCCTTGTCGCCTTTCATGTTCTGTCCGTGTTTTTCACTCACCCCAGTGCCCCTCCGTTGTCTGTCTCAGCTCAAGTTACCACTGTCGCTGGCTTTGCCTCTTCCCACCGCCTTGACTACGCCGCTAACTTGGTGAGTGGCCCTGCTCGTTCTCCGTCCTCTGGGGGTGCTCCTATCTTTCCCCTGGAGGTCCTCGAGGACAGGATATTCGAGCTTGGTTTCCTAACGGCCGCTGTTCCTCATCTCTGCGCCATGCTGCTTGCCCTTGAGGGGGATCCAGACGCCCTTGACATCCGTATCCCTCGCACTCACGCCGAGGCAGTTTCGAGACCTTGGGCTTCGTACTGGATTGCAGCAGAGGAGGCAGAGATGGCATCTTATAGGTCCAAAGGGACTACGTCCACGCCATTCCACCACCTAAGGCAAACGTCGTCAGTGGCATGTGGCTCTACAAGGTGAAGCTGCCGCCTGGATCATCACCAGTGTTCAAGGCGCACTATGTCGCGAGATACTTCTTCCAGACCTTCGCTCCCACCCCGAAGATGACAAGTCTTCGGGTGTTGCTGCATATAGCAGCTCAGCGCGACGAGTTGCACTCCTTAGACTTCTCCACAGCAATTTTTCAGGGGAGCCTGCACGAGCAGATCTGGCTGCAACGCCCGCCTAGCTTCACTGGCTCTTTCCCTCCTGGGACCCAGTGAGAGCTGCGTTGACCAGTCTATGGCCTGCATCAGGCTCCCTGTGCATGGCACAACACATTTTGCACGACACTAGCAGCGCTTGACTTCTTTCCGTCGTCTGCGGACCCGTCGCTGTTCGTTCGTCATGGATCGACCCCGTTCTTTGTTCTGGTTTGCGTCGACGACCTAGTCTTCGCCACTCCTGACCGACGCGCACTGGCCTCCGTGAAGGAGGAACTGCGAAGGAGACACACTTGCACCGACCTTGGTGAGCTGCAGCGCTACCTTGGCCTGCATAATCACCAGGGACAGGGCAGCTCGCACCATTACGCTGACGCAGTCGCATATGGTCGAGCAGATCCTCACGCGGTTTCGTTTCCCGTTCTCCAAGGTACAGCTCACCCCTCTTGCTGTGGATCATGGGCTCAAGGCTCCACCTTCGGACGAGCCATTTGAGTCTAGTGGTCCATATCCTGAGCTGGTGGGTTCTCCCACGTACCTGATGACCTGTACTCGTCCAGACCTAGCTTACCCTCTTAGCGTCCTTGCGCGCTTTGTTGCGCATGAGAGACACTGACCTTCCTACCGGTACGCTGCTAGGAGAGAGGCGAAGTATATGGCAAGTACATCAGCCATGGGACTTGTCCTTGGAGGGAAGTAGCCAGTTACACTCACAGGTTTCTCAGACTCGTCGTGGGCCGACGACGCATAGTCACTGCGGTCTACACAGGGTTACTGGTTCAGCCTTGGGATCCGAGCTGTTTCGTCTAGTTCCAACTGTGAGGCAGAGGTGTACGCTGTGGCCATGGCCGCCCATGAGCTTCGCTGGCTGTCTTTCCTCCTCACCGACCTTGGTGAGCGACCTCGCTCTTCCTTAGTCTTGTTCGCCGACAATAGGTCTGCTGTCCTTTGTGCGAGGAACCTCGACTGGTTGGGAAGGTGAAGCACATCCAGCTTCGTTACTTCCTTCTGCGCGAGTTGCAGAAGCGTGGCCAGGCACTTGTGACGTGTGGTCTCTGAGGCCAACACTGCAGATATCTTCACCAAGGCGTTGCCGCCTTGTGACCACCAGCGTTTCTGCACCGAGCTGGGTCTTGTGTCTGCAGATATCTTGTACCTCTTATACTTGCTATATACTTGCATGTGGACTGGCCTTGTTGCTCCTTGCTTGCTCTCGGGGTGTGTGGTGACTTTGAGCTCCACCCTGCGATTTGCCTTTTTCTTGTGGAATGGCCTTGTGACCCTTGCCTGTTCTTGCTGAGTGGTCCAGTGACCCTAGCCTGCACTCAAAATGTGTGGTGTCTTTGGTTTCCACCCTGAGGTATTTGTTGTTTTCCACAGAAATACTGTCACCTAGACTATGAGGGTGTGTGAAACTATTTTTGTTATAGTTCATGCATGTTAGTCTATGTGTGTTACGTTCATGCTTGGGTTAGGGTTAGCATTTCCTATATGTTCCTTGTTTTGTCATTCCTTAGTCAAGTTCCTTTGAGAACAAGGGGGTGTAGTAACTTGTGAGAAACCCAGAGGGAGCTGCCGGACACGGGAGAGTGGTGGTGCTGTGGGCAACTACAGGTCCCACAGAGGGGTCAGCCAAGGCGACAGTGACTAGAGTGTGCAGTGGCGTGAGGTCGGTGCACTTGCGAAAGAAACAGCTGGACGCTCCAGAGTCTAGGTTGAAAGAGAGCTGTGCAATCGGTAAAGTCGTACCCGAGCCAGCAACCAAGGCTGGTACTAGACTAATAGTAGCTGCAGCTCCTACACAAAGACCCTCAGAGGCGCCTGGACTGGAAATTACACACGCACCAAGACTAGAAACACAAGTCTCTTCTCGTGCAGCTGGGAAAGGTCTTAGACCAGGTAAGTGAGACTCAACTGGTGCAACAATGCCCTGGCGAAGACGCGAAAGCCAGTGCGGTGTAATAGCGTCAGGACCAAAATGCTCACGGTGGAGGTTGTCGAGGCGACGGTAGCAGCGGGACGCAGAGTGGTCAGGACTCCAGCAGGAAGTGCCAGCACCGGGGCCAGTTAGGATCCGGTACCCACAGGGACCAAGATCGCGCCTACTCCTGGCTGAACCGCTGCTGAGGCCGGTACTCCTAGGACCCTGAGGTCCCTACTGCTGGGAGTGCTGCAGCTGCGGTCGTAGCGGCTAACCCTGCTGTATCTAAACTCTAGTAGACGCCATGCTAGAGTCGGCCGAGCGTGGTGGGGAGCGACTAGGACCGGATGGGTACGGTTTGGTGCGGTCTAGTGCAGTAGAAAACGGCTAGTAGCAGTCGGTAGCGGGGCCTACCAGCTAGGGGGTAGGTTGTGGGGCAGCGGGTACAGGTGGGGTAGCGGGTGTGGCGACTGGGTACAGGTGGGGCAGCAAGGAACAGGTGGGGCACCAGGTTACGGGTGTGGTAGCGGGTGGGGCAGCCGGTTACAGGTGGGCACCGGGTGGGGCAGCTTGTAGGGCGGTGGGTTTCAGGTGGGGTGGCTGGTTATAGGTGTGGCAGCAGGCTACGGGTGGGGTAGCAGGTTCCTGTCAAACTATACTTGTGTTAGAAGGAAATGCTGCCATGAGCAACAAAATGTCTACGCTGGGATTCGAACTCGTGACCTTCAAATGTCCTGAAAGTGTCTCAGGACAGATTCAGGACAGTTTCTGCTAAGGCGCTGGTTATGGTGCACACGAGTTTCGAACTGGAGACCTTTCAATTCAAGTGTCCCGAAAGTGTCTTGTCAGGACAGTTTGGGGACAGTTTGGGGACAGATTGGGGACAGTTTGGCGAAATCGATCTCGGGTCGCGTTCGGTTTGAAACTCGGCAGCGAAGTGTCGAAGTCAACGGAAATCTCACGGGAGTTACTGTCGGTGGTCGACGGAATTCTTGTCCCGGAAATTCTCGTCTACGGAATTCCAGTCAATGGAATTTGCTCGGCGAAATTCAAGGCTCCAAATTTCGCGTCGAGGAAATTCAACGTGCGACTCGGGTCGACACTTTCTTGTGTGCTTTTATTTTGTATTGCGTCCTAGTATAAAACTAGAGGGCACAAACCAGAAATCAACCAAGTCATTATCACTGCTACGTTTGTGTGTATCTCTGGCTATAGTGGACCGTTTCTTGCAATCTTTGGTGCGTTGGAATCGTGCTTCTGAGCTCTATCAAGCTGCTATAGTAGTGGAATTCTACATGGTATCAGAGCTGCGTTATCTGCGTCGATCCAACTAGCGGCTTGATTTTGTCCTCCCATCACTTCGTTCCTACGTTGGTGTGGCCGACGCTCGTTTTGACTGCGCATGGAGTGGTTAACGAGCGCTGAGGGTCTGAATGCCCGTCAGGAGCTGGAGGCGTCCGTTCATGAGCACCACCCTCACTTGCGTGATGAGGAAGTCGACCTCATTGTGGACGGTCGTCTACTACGCATGGTTCGGGAGCGCGCAGCGGAGCAAGCACCTGCGAGCGGCCAGCAAGGAGGAACCGGTGAAGGAGGAGCTGTGCACGAGGCTCCAAGTGCTGTGGGCGTTGGTGGAGGAGCTCTTGCACCGACCATTGACACGGGAATGATCGGGGCGAGGTACGGTCAATTCAAGTTTGGAGTTGAACACATCTCCGTGACGCCGCTGCTGGAGGGAAGGCACGACCTTACCGCGTGGGTCAGTGCCATCCGACCTCAGCTCCAGTGTGCTGATTTGTGGCAGTTTTGCAACGGGAGAGCACCAAGCCCGGCCCCGAACAACCCCTTGCAACGAAGGGAGTACGCAAAGGGCCAAATGCTTGCAGTCATGGTGCTGAACCGATGTGTTTCTCCACCCATCCGAATGTCCATCTCTGGTTTCTCTCAGCAAGAGAAAGCCGGGCAGCTAGCATGGGCATATATCTTGTCTACTTATCAAGTTCGTGATGCTCTCCACGCTTCCCTACTTCAGACCCAGTTAGCCCAACTCAGGAAGGGAGATGATGAGGCGGCGGAATCCTACTGCAATAGGGCCCGCACCATCGGAGCGGAGCTGCTGACCATTGGACAGGAGGTCCACATGGCCACGTTTGCCGCCCACGTGCTGAAGGGCCTACCACCGGAGTACAGATTTCTTCGCCGCAAGCTCGAAATTTCCAGCCCTGACATGATGGTGGAACGCGTGTGCAGCGAGGTGTTGATGGAGGAGCAGACTCTCTCCATCGAACAGAATTACAAGCAGATCACCAATGATGCATCTGCTTTCTCGGGCGCTGTCCATGCCATCGTGGCTACAACGGGGGTCAACGGGAAGGAAGGAAAAGGGGGAAGGGAGCAGACGGACAAGAAGAAGGATGGCAAGCGGGAGAAGAAGCGAGCCCCCTTCAAGGGGCGCTGCTACAACTGCAATGAGGAGGGGCACATGGCTGCCAAGTGCCCCAACAAGAAGAAAGATACAACGCCCGCGGCAGCCGCGAACGTAGCTGAAGGAGACGGGAAGGGCGTGGCACTCACCGTCGCGTGTTTGGCTGTTGCTGGCCGACGACAAGGACTTGTGGTTCCTTGACTCAGGATGCTCCCAACACATGACCGGCCGCAAGGAGTGGTTCACGGTGATCCGTGACCCATCTGCAACGAAATCAGTCAAAGGGTTTGATGGTTCTATGCAGGAAGTTGCCGGTGTTGGTGAGGTTTTGCTGGAGGGCACTAACGGCTTGCGTGTGACCCTACATGATGTCCTCTTTGTGCCAGGAATGAAGGCCAACTTGGTCTCCCCTGGGCAGCTCTTGGACAAGGGAGGAAAGCAGCAAACCGAGGAAGGTGTTACTCGCATCATTGCGTCAGGAGGTCAAGTGGCTGCAATGGCACGATACCGCCATCGCCTTCACTGCCTTGACCTGAAACCGGGGCCAGCAAGGAACGGTGCAACGGCTACAGCGGCATGCAACGGCACGGCGGCTGCAGCGGCATGCACCGATATGGCGGGTGGAGCGGCGAGCAACGGCACAGGGGCTGCATCGGCATGCAACGGCACGGCGGCTGCAACGGGAATCAACGGCACGGCAAAGGAGATTGCTGATGTGGCGTCAAGCAAGCCGGAAGCTAAAGATGGAGCGGCCAGCCTCAAGACGTACGCGGTGGGCTCCAAGGCAACGCCCAACCTGTGGCACGCTAGCCTTGGACACGTCCACTTCGATGCGGTGAAGCGGACAGCCACGAGCGGTGGCGTGTTCGGTATGGACCTGGAGAAAGGAGGTGAGGATATGCCGTGCACTTCCTGCCATGAAGCCAAACTCACTCGTGAATCATTTCCGCTGCACGACGAGCGAGAGGAGCAGGTACTTGGGCTGGTCCATACTGACGTGTGCAGTCCATTTCAGACCCTAGCCATGGATGGAAGCAGGTACTACATTCTTTTTGTCGACCACGCCTCACGTTACACCTGGGGGAAGACGTTGAAGCTGAAGAGCGACGCGCTTGCTGCCTTCAAGGAATGGCTTCCCGAAGCTGAACACCAAACCGGGATGACGCTGAAGGTGTTGCGGTCGGACCGGGGAGGGGAGTTTATGTCGAATGAGTTTCTGTTGCTGCTGAAGCAACGAGGAATTTTACGTCAACTCTCCTGCCCCTCGACCCCCCAGCAGAACGGTGTGGCTGAACGCCGCAACCGTACGGTAACCAAGGGCATGCGTGTGATGTTGGAGCACATGGGGGTGAAAACACACTGGTGGCACTTCGCTTTCCAGCAGTTCTTGTGGGTGGTAAACCGTGTGCACCAATCCACCCTGCCCCATGGTGTGACCCCTCATTTGGTGGTGTTCAAAGTCAAGCCCGATGTGTCCATGGTCCGTGTGTTCGGGTGCATGGTGCAGTACCTCATTCCTGAGCATGAGCGTGAGGGGAAGCTTGCAAGCAAGACTCGTTGGGGCATTCATTTGGGCATGAGCATGGAAAGTAAGGGATGGCGTGTGGTGGATGTTGAGTCAAAGCGCATGGTCATCACCCGGGATGCACGTTTTTATGAGGACATGTCACTTGAACGGTGGCAGAAGTGGCGTGCACGCGTGGGTGACGGGAATGACCAGCCCACACCACCCTTTGCTTCAGTCCCATCTCTCTTCCCTGAGCCCCACGACCCCGAGCAGAATCCGCCGCCACCACGTACCGTCATCGTGGTCCCGGTACCGTCTGTGCAAGGGGGCGAGAAACCCCTTGATCGCTCGGTGGGCCCTTTGGGCAGCAAGGCACATACTGCTCCTCCTCCTCTTGGTCCACCCTCCGTTGCTGATTCGGCGCCCGTAGGACCAGAGGATGGTCCTCTGGAGGTTAACACCAGCATGGCTGATCACGAGGAGGAAGAAGAAGTAGCAGTGGATGAGCAGTCACCAATGGCCCATGAGCATGAGCCTTCACCTGCAGTTCCCCCCTTCCAGCCCATTCCACCACCCCCACGTCGCTCTAGCAGGCCTAACAAGGGGGTGCCACCCGTACGGTTTCAGCCATCAGCCATGACGGCCCTGGATACGGATGATGAGGACAACCCGTACGACGTGGCATACCTTGCTGAGGACGAGTGCGACACGGACAGCGATGACGAAGTGGAGTACCCGGACGAGGATGAGGAGGAGGAAGGCTCTTGGGGAGGTGTCATCCTCGACCTGGCAGCAGCGTTGACCGGACCTGAAGGCAAGGAATGGTGGGCTGCTATGAAGGAGGAGATGGAGAGCCTTGATGAGCAAGGCACTTGGACGTTGGCTGACCTACCTGAAGGTCGCAAAACCGTCGGCGTCAAGTGGCTGCTGAAGAAGAAGCTGCGGCCTGATGGCACCGTGGAGAAGTACAAGGCCAGGCTAGTGGCTAAGGGCTTTAGCCAGCGATTCGGCATCGACTACGACGACACTTACGCTCCTGTTGGCAGCTACACCACCGTTCGCGTGCTCCTCTCAATCGCAGCAGCTATGGACCTGGATTTGCTGCAGCTTGATGTGAAGAATGCATTTCTTCACGGCACCATCGACTACGAGATCTACATGCAGCAGCCGCCTTACTTCACCGACGGTAGTAGCAAGGTGTGCCTCCTGCAGAAGAGCCTTTACGGGCTAAAGCAGAGTTCCCTTCTGTGGTACAAGGAGCTGGACAAGGTGCTCCTTGTGGAGGGGTACAAGAAGAGACTTGTGGACCAGGCCCTATACTACAAGGATGGGGCACGCGGGAAGCGCGTGTGGCTGCTAATCTACGTGGATGACCTGCTAGCGGCAAGTGAAGACCAGCAGCTTCTGCAGGACCTGAAGGGGCTGCTGGCCAAGGCGTTTCAGCTCCGTGAGGTGGAGCCAGTGGAGCGCTACCTGGGGCTGCAGATTGAGCGAGATCGCCCCAACAGGACACTCTTCCTGCACCAGAATGCGTACGTGGCGAAGGTGCAGCAGCGGTTCTTCAAGGGGGCGCCACCAAAGAAGCAGCCGATCACTCCTCTCTCCTCTGCCAGCTTTGCCAAGCAGGATGCCGGGCAGTTTGCCAACCGTACCATGACCGAGTACTTGTCAATTCTCGGCATGGTGCAGTTTGCAGCCATCTCAACCCGTCCTGACCTCTCTTTTGCATGCAGTCGCCTTGCAGCAGCTGCACACCTCAGGACCGATGCGCATTGGCATGAGCTCTTCCGCACACTCTCCTACTGGGCTGCCTCACCGGACAAGGGGCTGCTGTTCAAGGGAGGACCAGAGAGTTTGACTCTCGTAGGGTATGCAGATGCGGATGATGCAGGTGACAAGGAGAACCGGTCGTCCACGGGAGGCTACCTCTTCAAGCTTGGCGGAGCTGCCGTTTCATGGCAGGCCAAGAAGCTACAGGGTGCAACCAAACTTTCCTCCACCGAGAGCGAGCTTGTGGCTGCGGTGGAAGCGGGAAAGGAGGGGCGCAAGCTAAGGTTCCTGCTGTGGGAGTTTCAACTGCTCAAGAAGGGTGTCCCCACCACCCTGTACATCGACAACATGTCAGCGGTGCAGCTCAGCCAGGCGGGCGGGCTGCAGGGGCGCATGAAGCATGTGGACCGTCGCCACATGTGGCTACAGGACATGGTGCGCATGAAGAAGTTGGAGGTGCAGCACATCCCTACGACGGCGCAGCCCGCTGACTTCTTCACGAAGCGGCTCGAGAAGGCAGCCTTCAACCGATGCTGTGCAGCAGCCGGGCTGGTCCAGCGTGCTCCTGACAGCAAGGGGGCGTGTTAGAAGGAAATGCTGCCATGAGCAACAAAATGTCTGCGCTGGGATTCGAACTCGTGACCTTCAAATCTGTCCTCAAAGTGTCTCAGGACAGATTCAGGACAGTTTCTGCTAAGGCGCTGGTTATGGTGCACACGAGTTTCGAACTGGAGACCTTTCGATTCAAGTGTCCCGAAAGTGTCTTGTCAGGACAGTTTGGGGACAGTTTGGGGACAGATTGGGGACAGTTTGGCGAAATCGATCTCGGGTTGCGTTCGGTTTGAAACTCGGCAGCGAAGTGTCGAAGTCAACGGAATTCTCACGGGAGTTACTGTCGGTGGTCGACGGAATTCTTGTCGCGGAAATTCTCGTCTACGGAATTCCAGTCAATGGAATTTGCTCGGCGAAATTCAAGGCTCCAAATTTCGTGTCGAGGAAATTCAACGTGCGACTCGGGTCGACACTTTCTTGTGTGCTTTTATTTTGTATTGCGTCCTAGTATAAAACTAGAGGGCACAAACCAGAAATCAACCAAGTCATTATCACTGCTACGTTTGTGTGTATCTCTGGCTATAGTGGACCGTTTCTTGCAATCTTTGGTGCATTGGAATCGTGCTTCTGAGCTCTATCAAGCTGCTATAGTAGTGGAATTTTACAACTTGTTATAGTTTGTTAGTCTAGACTAGGTGTTACAGTGAGTTATGCAATAGAGGGTACAACCCCCCTTTAGGGTTTGCTATATGTTTCCTTATACGGCTTTGTTCAAGTCACTCATTCCACCGTTCCTATCCTGACATGGTAAAGAGCGAGTTTTGTTTCTATGGGCCCACCGCCTCGCGCCCCGCCTGTCACTTGTAGCTCGTACATGCCATAGCCCGCGGCCCCAACGTGCCCCGTAGCTCGACGCGGGCCCATCGTTTGTCCTGTAGCGCGGCCCCCGGGGGCCCTTCGTTCGCCCCGTAGTACAGCCCCTCGCGGCCCTACGTACGTCCCGTAGCGCTGCCCCCACAGCCTCCCCCCCCCCCCTCGTATGTCCCATAGCGTGGCCCCCGCGGGCCCCTTCGTACGTCCAGTAGCGTGGCCCCCGCGGGCGCCCCCCCCCCCCCCCCGCCTCTTCGTTCGTCCTGTAGCGCAGCCCCTTCATACGTCCCGTAACGTGGCCCCTCGCGGGCCCTTTCGTACGTCCCGTAGCGCGGCCCCCCGCGGGCGCACTCGTCGCGACCTAGGTCGCGCATCACCCGTCGCCCGTAACCCTAGCGCCCGTCGCCCGTAGATTGCGCTCGCGCCCGTAACCCTAACCCGTCGCGCCCGTCGCCCGTCCCTCGCCCGTCGCCTCTGCCCGTCGCCCGTCCCTAGCACCCATCGTCCATCCCTTGCCATACCCGCGCGCTGCTGCAACCGCTCGTGTTGTCGCTTGCAGCAGCAGCAACGCGCGCTGCATGCCTGCACGATCAGTAGCGAATTCAGCGCGCCGCCCCACGCCAGCGGGAGCAGCAGCAGCGCGATGCTAGCAGCAGCAGCTAGCGCTAGCAGCAGCAGCTAGCGCCAGCAGCAGCAACTAGCGCCAGCAAAAGCAGACAGCGCCAGCAACAGCAGCTAGCACCTTTAGCAGCAGCCAGTGCCAGCAGCAGCCGCCCGTGCCTTTGCGAGTCTTGCCCGACTACTCCCCACCGCACTAGACCGCTCCCCATCGCAGACCGCTCCCCACCACACTAGACCGCTCCCCACCGCACTAGACCGCCTCCCACCGCACTAGACCACTCCCCACCGCACTAGACTGCTCCCTACCGCACTAGACCGCATCCGACCACACCCGGCCATACCCTCCCGCATCTGACCGCTTTTAGCCGCTTTCCATCGCACTAGACCGCAGTGGACCACACTTGACTGCTCCTAGCCACACTCGATCGCTCCTGACCACCTCTAGTTCCAGCCAGCGGCAGCAGCTGCAGCACTTCTGCAGTGGTCGCTACGTCGGTCCGTGCGAGTAATAGATCCTGACTGGCCCTGGTGCTGGCACTACCTGCAGGCGTTCTGACCACTCCGAGTCCCGCTGCTACCGTAGCCTCGACGAGCGTTTTGGACCTGACTGGACTCTTGCACTTGCCTTCTCTGTCTCGCCATGGTTACGATATTTATCTCATGTCCATGTCTGAAGTTTTTGAGACGATGTATTTTGATAACTCTAGTGCGGTCGGACGTGTTGCCTTGTGTGCACCTAGCTTAGGACATTTGCCGGTTGCTAGTGTAGAACCTTGTGTTTCTAGTCTTGGTGCTTGTGTAGTTTTTAGCCTAGGTGCTTCTAAGAGTCTTCATGTGGGAGTTGCAGCCACAGCTGGTCCAGTGTCTGCCCCGGTCGCTGGCACGGGTTCGACCTCATCGACTAAGCCTCTTTCGTTCACCTTCGACTCTTGGGCGTCGAAGGTGAACGAAGTCAAAGTTGCCTTCCTAACCACCTAGTCGAAAATCCCTCTATAACCCAATTAAGGTAATATCCCAAATCAAGTTATAATTTCCAAATCTTGGAAATCTTGTAACTTGGGCGATCTTGGTCGGTGTAGTCATTACTTTCCCAGTGGACGAGCCTGTTGCCTCCTGCACAGACGGTGCCACAGGGGCGCCACTGGCCACTTTTCACAGGGAGCCAAGCTCTGGCCTGTAATCGTTACACGGGTCAGGTCAGGTCCGGTCAGGTCAGATAGCTGCTGTGTCGTGCGACTGTCGATCACTCACCCACCCGTCGGTCCTCTGGCACCACCGTCCAGGTCACCCGTCATTCCCACGTCTAAGTAGAATGGTATGTCACCGTCTGATCTCAGGTCTCCCAGAGTCGCTTGCCCCGCTTCCTCGTTCGCATGCGCCGCCGTGCACTCCTTGCGCTGAGGGTCGGCAGCGTGCTGCCCCTCACTCCTCATCGTTCCCCCACACCACGGCTCCCTTCCAGACCCTGCACTTGGACGTCTGAGGCCCCTCCCCGGTCCTTGGCCCACGTCAAAAGTGCTACTTCCTGATTGTGGTAGACGACTACTTTCCGCTACACCACGGTTTTCCCCTTGCAATGGAAGGATGACGTGTCCACCGTCCTCGAGCCGTGGCTACTAACGAGGGGTGGTGCCCAGGGCCTGTGTGGGCTCCGCCTACACTCGGACCGTGGTGGTGAGTTCTCGTCCACTCGCCTGGAGACGTTCTGTCAGGGTCAGGGGATCATCCAGTCTTACACGCTACCAGCCTCGCCGCAGCAGAACGAGGTAGCCGAGCGATGCATCGGCCTGGTCATGGAGGTTGCCTGGACCTCCATGTGCCATGCCGGTGCCCCCCAGTTCCTGTGATGTCAGGCAGTCCGCTACAATGCGGACCAGCTGAACCTACGGCCCAGTGACGCACGGCCAGGGGTGACGCCTGGACACGTTCTCCGGGCGTAGTAGCTGACTTTCGCGTCTGGGGTTCTCTGGCTCACGTTCGCGCCGCTGGCGCAAACAAGTTGTCTCCGCCTCCCTTGTGCCTGCGTCTTTCTTGGCTTCCCTTTGGACGCCTCCGGCTAGGTGTTCTACGACCCGGTCACCTACCAGTTTCTTGCTTCTCATGAAGTCACGTTTGACGAGTCTGTCTTTTACTACAAGAGTCATCCCTACAGAGGTACTCAGGTCTTCC